ACCGAGCGCGAGGCGGGGGGGGGGGTGTTGTTTGGGTTTTCTTTTTTTTTAAAAAAAAAAAAAAAGAGGAAATGGCCACGAAAGGGAGCGGGAAGTTCAGCCTCAGCCCTATTTCGGGCTTGGAAGGAGGTGGTTTGGTCGGGCAGGTCGTAGAAAAAGTGGGGTCCGGGTAACGTTGATGGTTTGGTTAAATCCTTTTGGCTCTGCTCAGCAGAACGGCGATGCGACATGGAAGTCCTTTCCTCTTCTAGCGCGAGGGAAGAAAGAAGAAGGGGGTGAAACGCTTCCAACCCACCCCGGGAAGGTCGGGTTTAGAGAAACCACTTTTCATCCCACGGCAAAAAAAAAAACCCAAAACTTCAATTCATCCCGTTAAATGCTCGGACCCAGGCAGCGGCAAAAATCCTGGAGCTGCTGCCTGCAACCTCGGGAGGAGGCAGGGCCTCCCTGCCCGCTGCCTGGGCACAGGGTTTCTCTTCCCCTTGGAGCTGGGAGCGGGTTCTCGCTCGAAGGCTGCCCAGGGCTCGGCTTAGAAAGCGGCTTTGTTCGCGGCACAAAGGGCTGCGCCCCCCCCCTGCCCCGCTCCTGCCTCTGCCTGCGGGGAAGCTGCCTGCCTGCCTGCCTGCTCGGGCGGGTTTCTTGCTTTTCCGTTAATGTTCAGGGATCAGGGAAGTCCTGGAGGTTCCCTGACAAATAAAGCGGTCGAAGCCGGTGGCTGGGAGCTGCGGAGAGGGGAAGGAATTCGCCCCGCCGCTCCGGCAAACGCAGGCGTCAGAATTCGGGTTAGAAACCCGGCTTAAACCTTCCTGGTGACGAGCTCCAGGGCAGGCGAAGAGGAGCGTGGTGCGGGGGTCCCCTGCAACCTCCCTGCTGCGCTGGGGTCCTTCCCACGAGGGGAGGGAACGGTTGGATCTGGCTCAGGCGCGCGATTTGGGCCGTAATCTGCCGTTTTCGTCTCCCTCCGCGTGCAAAGGTGTGAAGCAGCCTGACAGAACGAGCCCGAGCTAACCGGGCTGAGCCCACCCCGCTTGGGGAGGCTGCTGGGGAAGGGAACCGAACCCCTCCAGAGCTCCCCACGGGGCTGCTGCCCTCCCGCTGCGGCCGGTGGGACCCCGAACCCCCCAGCAGGTCCTCGCTGGTCCCAGCGCATCCCCCCCCTCCCTCCCCTGCTCTGCTCTCCAGACCGCGTTCGATGGCGCAGCCCGGGGAGACCCGCGTCCCATCTCCCTGCGGAGCGGGGTGGAGGGGCCTCTGCCGAATCCTCCCCTCCCCTTCCCCTTTTTTAGGGTAAAACCCCCGTTTCTTGGGTACCTGCCGCCCAGCTGCTCAGAAGAGGCCGCAGTCCTTGAGGTTCTCTTTGATGATGACATCCGTGACGGCGTCAAAGACGAATTTGACGTTCTGCGTGTCTGTGGCACAGGTCATGTGGCTGTAGATCTCCTTCACGTCCTTCCGCATGTTGAGGTCGAGGAACTGGGTCTTGATGTAATTCCCCGCGTCTTCAAACGTGTTGGGACCTGCGGAGGGAGGAAACGATGCTGCTGCTGCCGAGCTGCTCCCGTGGGAGATGATCCTCAGAGGACCTGGGGGTGCTTAAGGCTTGTGTTTAAGAGCTAGAGCTGACCTCTCCCTCCGGAGGAGGAAGAGGAGGAGGAGAAGGGCCGGGTGGCAACGGCACCTAGCAAAGCCATTTGAAAAAAGCGCCATTTTATCCCGTTTCAATCCTTCCAAACACCTTCCCGAGGCCACATCTGCCCCCTCCTCTGCTCCTGCCTCCGGGGACTTGATCCCAGCGTCTGTGTTGGGACCGCGCGGGTCCCCGCCGGAGGTTTGGGGGCTCTCGGGGAGGGGGGAACGAACCGACTCACCGTCATATTCTGGGAAGCAAATGCTGAGGTGGACTTTCTTGATCTTTTCCTCGAAAAGGTCCTTCTTGTTGAGGAAGAGGATGATGGACGTGGCGGCGAAGAACTTGTGGTTGCATATACTGTTGAATAGGTGCAGGGATTCGTGCATGCGGTTCTGCAAGCAAACGGGCTCGTTGGCACCAAGCGCCGGGTTTGTAAATGATTTATCAACCCCTTTCGGCCGTCGCAGCCCTCCAAACCCCTCCCCGTCCCCGAGAGGAGAGCTTTCCCCCTGCCTGCACCGAGCGTCCCCCTTGCCCATCCAAAAATCCCCCCGTGCCGCGGTGGGAGCGACCCGGCTGAATCCAAGCGGTGCTCAGGATGGGCAGCGGCAGCTCCGGGCGGCGTGATGCTCCGCTCCCTCCTGGCATCTTCTGGGATGTTCAGAAAGGAAGGATTACGGTGGGAAAATGATCCGGGGAAACCTCGCAGGCTGCTGGAGGGTGCTCGGCCAGGGCGCCAAGCTGCCGTCCCCGCCACCCGGGCCGTGCTGCGGGGTGCTCTTGCCGGGCCGCGCTCCCCGGCTCTTACCCGCAGCTTCGGAAAAGCCCAGGGAAAAGGGAAAGCTCCGGTTTTAAACCAGACGTGCAGCTTGTGGTGTGCTGCAGGGGCATCCTCGGGAGGACGGGGCTCCATCCAGCTCTCGCTGCGCTGGGGGCAGAAGGTGGATCTCCTCCACCTCTGTACGGCAGCAGGCAGGTTCTTCGGGGGCGACAGGGGTGGTTTTGCCTTGTCCACCTTCTCACTGCAGCTTTTTGGTAGGGCTTCGGCCAGCAGGGCACGTGCAGGGCCGGCTTTGGCCAAAATTCTGCCCCATCCTGTGCGGGGGGAAGCGTTGACGGCCTCTCCTGAGGGCTTCCATGGTGAAAGATGCTCTCTCCTTCCCTCCCGTGCCTTACACACGCTGCTGCTTCGTGGCTGAGGAAGGGCTGGCTGCTCCTCCCCGGGGGTGGTGGACCCCAACCCTGGCCCAGCTCCCGGCGAAGGTGTTTGGACCCCAGAGCACCAGGGAGCACCCGTGGGACCAGCCGCAGCGGGAGATGCCAGCAAGGATGCTTTGCCCCAGCCCCCGAGGCAGGCGAGAAGGCAGCCTGCGTCTCCTCCTCTGCTCCTCTTCACCCTTATTTCTCCTGAGGAATCACCCGGGTCGGGGCTGCGATGTTCCTTCTCCACCCTCGAAGCTGCGGTGCCGGAGCATCCCTCCCCGGGCACCCGCAGCACCCCGCGCCGTCCTTCCCCCCGCGCTGCC